ATCTGCATTTATACCCATCTCAATCGATCGCTTGATGGCTTAGAGAGAAAGAGTCTACAAAGGTATCGCATGTCACTTCGTATGTCAGGAATGCAATTGCACTATTTTAAGCTGCTGACTGCCATCTCACGTCACATCAGAGTCTTAGTCGGCGTGACTGTTGACGCTTTCACAGCCTGAAAGACATGAACAGACGCATGTCGAGGAAAAAAAGTCGTGCTATTGAAGATGGAATTCTTTATATTCGCTATTGACAAAGTTTTGAGGCGTCCATTTTGTTAGAAACATTACGTGCACACAGGAAACGAATTACGGGCACGCTACCTTTCCAGATACTATCTGAGCGACCAAATTCTGCCGCTATGGGCTTTTGGGAGAATCACAATTCAGTGCTTATATTGTCAAGGTAACATTTCTGCGCCCACGGTTCCACCCACACTCAAGAGCAAACTAAGAGAAGCGATGAGGAGAGCACAGGGCTCACACAACATTCACGTGTCCCCGATTACCATTTCCCTTTTGATTTCTATGAAAGCCATCGGCGAAGCGCCGACTGCGAGCGGTCGAAGCAGAGCGCGTTCATCAAATATGATTTATTGTTGTCCATAAACATCGGCAATGTCTTAGACGACTGACCACAATTGCCTCCAGAGCTCGCAAAACTCTCTGGCGAGCGGTTCCGAGCGGTGAGATGATTTGAGCCACGTAGCTCGTTACTCAGAGGGAAATTCCTTTTGTAATGTTAGTGAAGGGAGGGAATGAGTCAAAAAAGTCTCTGAATATAGTGGTACCTGAGGTACAGAATAGAGAGGAGAGATCTCCCTCAGTTAAGGAGAAAGGGATGCTCGCTGGTTTGAATTCACCGCAGTCTCAGCAAGTATGTATGTACATACTGAGGGCAAAAGTACAGCCACCTTCAGCGCACAGTTGCTCAATCAGAATATTTCAAATTACACTCTGATTTTCTTATGGAGGACCATCAGCCTCTCTAAGTTTAGGGAAACTCCTGGCAAAAAGGCCCAACCTGAGTTCGAAGGCACAGTTCAAGATAATTTTGAGGTAACCTTTTTAGGTTGAAAAACGGAAGTGCTGATGTAGAGGAGTACATCGGTGGCGAAGAAAGTAAAAAAATTCGCCTACCTCAAGGTTTCTCAAAAGTAGTGAAAGAGGAGGTTGTACGAGATCACCGGGAATGGCATGTAAGGGGTGTTTGGACGAGATTCAACATGCTCCCATTGCTCGGGGAGATGATTACACAAGCCAAAATCCTCCGAAACTGCCTTTCACTGTCTCCATAGGTTATGACAAGTTGTCTGAACTTTCTACATGGAGTGGCTTGAAATAGTGCAGCCTCCACATAGTCTTTGAAACTCGTTCACTATGGGTGTGGCATTCACACAATACAATCTTTGGCTCCTTATTGTGCCCTGTCAAGGACGTTTTTCGACATTATAAGGGCAGGTACGGTATGAGAGGGAGCCTCGAATTCATACTACAGGGCAATCTCAAAAACCCTTCATCGTGAACTGTCCCTTTAAATAATGTTATTGACTATAAGAGCGAGCCAATATTTTTCTGAAGCGCAAGCAACTAACACCGAATGCTCAAAATTAAGAAAAAANTACAATCTTTGGCTCCTTATTGTGCCCTGTCAAGGACGTTTTTCGACATTATAAGGGCAGGTACGGTATGAGAGGGAGGCTCGAATTCATACTAGAGGGCGATCTCAAAAACCCTTTATCGTGAACTGTCCCTTTAAATGATGTTATTGACTATAAGAGCGAGCCAATATTTTTCTGAAGCGCAAGCAACTAACACCGAATGCTCAAAATTAAGAAAAAACATTGCTTGAGGGCAGTCCTTGATCTTGCTGTTGTAACGTACGGGCAGGTGATGGATGCAATGACTAGGAACTCTATTTCTAGCTAACTCGACCTTATGTGTCGACCTACTCTGTCCTGATCTCCTCACCATCCTTCAACTCAGTGGTACAAATAAAAATGTCTGGGGAAGCACAATGGCTCTTTAGTCAGCGGAAGGCTCACAAGGAATCATCTGAGCAGTACTTCGCGATAGCTCTCTCTCTCTCGATGAAGTACATCCATTATAAGCGCTAAGATTCGTCAATTAAATTATCCTTCATTGTCTATCAATACAAGTCGCGCCAACCATCAAATGAAAGTAGTAGTTGATGGTTCTTAGAAGTTCCAAGGGGTGCTTTTGTGAAAACCTCATGGCCACTTCCATCACGTTAGCTGCCGATCCACAGCTGTATCGAGCAAAAACAAAACAAATGTTTATATAGTCAAAAGAACGGCTTCAGGATGTTGGGACAGGTGCACTGGCAAAGCGGAAATGCTTTTGAAGGACTTCTAATCCTATCTTGAAAAGCCGCTTCCGACTGCATGATATATGTGCGTGGGAAACGAATTTCCAGTTTTCCCATTAGAGCCTCACTAGAACTTGCCCTCACCACTTTCCCTATTGGTAAGCCATTGTATAGGCCACATAAGTATTCAAATGCTCCTAGGATTCTAAACAGGAGTTGAATGCGGTGGCGAGTGTGAGTACCAAAAATATAAAGGAGGATCGAATGGGAGCTTTATTGAAGTCCCCTGTTGGCCTAGGTACCGGATTGGTGACACTACTCAAGAACTTCCCAAAGACTGAACTTTGGTGGAAATTTCGATTACTTCTAAACTATAGACATAGTCAGCATAATGATTGCTTAAGTTTAACAAAACTAAAACCATTTGAGCAGAAAAGAAAACTCAACAAATACAATACACGCGGCTTGGTTAAAGTATCATTACCAAACGGAAACAGTCAGCACTAGAGGAAGTGAGCGAACAAGCACCTTGTAAAGGACAATCAATCTTGAACGACTACGAGTCTACACAGCTCAATAGCTTGGCAGCTATCTGTCTTCTGAACTGTGTCAGCATACCGGGCAAAACACTGTCCTTCATCAACTTTTTATAAGTGCTCGCGACTCGGAACTAAAAGCTTCTTGCCGATGGTGCGACTTTGAACAAAAGGACCTAGCCCGCGGATTGGTATAAGAGCTTATAAACCATGCATACGTTGAACACCGTACGCCGAGATCGGAGAGTTGCAAAGTCGAAGTACCTGTTTCTGAAGTGTGCTTCTGGAACTCTGGAGTAAAGAAAACTCCCACATCAAACAAGAATTTTGCGTGTGAAAGTGTTTTAGACCTTTTCCAGTGCTGCTACATCCTTTTTCTTCTCTGGGCTGAACACCATGGCTCCAGATTCAAACAGCGGGCATACACATGTTTCATTTTTTTGGAGAAGACCCCGCTATTAGCGGTAGAGCAACCCTTGAAAATTTGGAATGTACGCATTAGAGCTAAATTGGAACGGATCCTGAATGTTGAATGAATGTTAATCTACCACTGAAGACATTAATCGATAGATGCCTCACATAATCTTTCTATCTTACCCAANTAGCCTATTATTTTCCTCCTAAAAGTGCAAGCAATCTTTCTTTTTTGCCCTGCACCTCACATTTTAGTCCTAGAATCTGCTCGATTGAGTTCGTTTGCATATTAGTAAAAGGCGCCAAAGTGGGTGTCCGCGCACTTTGATGGCATAGCCAGCATAATGAATGTCTAGTGGAGCGTTTCCATTTTTTCCTAGAATCAGTTGTTCGAGCGAGAACGATGACGAGGTAAAGGGCAATTGTGGGAAGGGAATCGTGTGCCCACTATACATGTGTATGGAAGATTGACAGATATCTTGCACTCGAGCTTCAATACTACAGAAGTTGTAAAAACCACTCGAAGGATCCGTGAGTTTGGAGATTTTGCATCTCATGAAGTACATATCGATTAGTCTCTTGGCTGAATTGGTGGAAGTGTAGGACCGTGCAACACAGACCCTAATATCTTTGACAAGAACGGGATACTTCGAAGATCGGAGTTACTGTTTCATTTGGTGAACAAAGTCTGAAGCAAGGGAAGTATTTAGGAACGGGCTACAGCAAAATACTGAAATAGGCGCCCACCAGCTGTTGTAATACGAGATCAGTTTAATTTCTCGAGCATCGTGACGTTAGCTCCTCCTCGTCTGAAGGAGATGGGGTCAGACTGTTACAGTACAGTGCTACCCTGAACTGAAACTATGGAATCTCTTGAATCTCTACTGAAGCTTTCTTGCGAAAAATAGTTGGGTAGAATTGCGGTCGCTCAATTGGAAGATTCAAAAGAAGGCCGCTTTGGAAGTGATGCGTGGGATAGCACTGATTCATGACTTGGAATAGATAACGCTTCCTTAGCAGAAATTGTAGCTTTCCAACTGCTCCTTTCTTCTTTGCTACTCCATTTTTAGTTATCAAAATTCCATAATATTTATGGTTGCGGTTATATCATTGAGGCATCGCTTCAATAGCCCCTGCGAGCCTTCGGCGAAAACCTCAAGTGGTTATCTGACAGGCTTTGCCCCTCTACTAAAGAACTTGCTCAAGGGTTAACGCGAGTTCAATGGGAGTCATTAAATTTTGGAAGACAATCTCTAACATATGGAGGATGTACCATGGGGTAGCTAAGGCAAGATGTCAACAATCTATGGGTAATGTTCGAGTTTAGGCAACAATTATTCTGAGTTTCGTGAGTTGTCCGCCTCAAGAGGATATGTAGATCCGCATCTATAGTACGAGCACCAACGTTCTCATTCTTGATATATTTTACATTTTAGCTTACCATTTACATTTTAACATTTTAGCTTCTACTAATTAGAGATACACCATGGTATCGACATGCATGGCCAATACGTGGTAATGAAGAGATTAGTGTGTAATGTGATGTTTCGCCTGCCCATGTCTGTGGGGGCTATTCACCCGTGATATTTGCAAAGGAAATATGGTGATAATGGTAGTTGTGTATAACATTTCTGACTTTTGCAGTATATACACGTGAAGCCTTTCTTCATTCAAAGAACTCTGTCTCTGGTCTCAACAACAAGGCAACAGGCTCGTGATGTATGCATGAGCAGCCACACAGAACATACAAGGTACACAACTGGGCCTAGATTACCGGATGGATAGGTTGAGGGGGAGGGGAGCAGGAGGGAGACTCCAAAGAGGCTGAACCGTTTCCTATTGTTCATATCAAAGCACTCGGTGAGGAATTAGGCATCTATTGCTGGTGTGAGCACTGCCGTACGACCAAAAGAACGATCCAGTGGCTGGATAACGTTTTGTGTGAACAGATCCTGGTAAAAGGGCTTCAGCACAGCTCATTGTACTGGAACAGCAAATATGTATCTGTTTGAGATTGTCAGAAATTTGGGTTAAACTAGGATTGTGATGGAGTAATGATGTATTCCTGCAGAAAACCCCTTTTTCCAAATGTAGAATCCCTCTGGTTCTCAATTGCAGTTCCAGTGGTACGATAGAGTATACCAGCTGGTGATTTCTCCCCCAAAGATTGCATTATCGTAGCGAGTATCTAATTTTCTTTTTAATAGTATCATAAAATATCTCCCATTCGTTGAATAGGAAAAACAGAAGGTTGCATGGGAAATTACCCTCTACGTCATTTCCGCTTCGTTAAAGGTCTTGAAAATTCATTAGTTGTTCAACTACTTGGCATAAAATTTAAAAGCGCCTGTTCTTTTTGTTGGCTCCTCAGCCTTCGCAGATGTTAGTTGGAATGCTAATGAGGTTCTTACCAATGGAATTACTAGAAGTACTTTATGTAGTAGCACTGAGCACTTATAAAACCTCTGTTTACGTAAACAGAGCAATCAACTTGACGGGATCAAAGCGAAACGACGAGAATAACAGAAAGTAGGTGAGAACAAAATTACATTGAGAATACGACTGACAGCAAGCGGAGACTGAATGGGACTCACAAAACTACGTTCGACCAGTCTTGGCAAGTGATTCTGAGGAAAATGAAGGATAATCAGAAGTAGAGGGGCAGTGCCGATGAAGTTGTTCAAATGGGAACTTCATCGAAACATTTCGTGTGTCCAGCTAGATTGCTACCATTATTTACAGTAGCGCTCAAAAGTATTCGGCGAAATGCTTCTTCAGTTGTTCTTTCAGTCATAACTTCTTTCCTATTGGATCTAATCATGCGAAATTTCAATATATGTAGCATGGGCGTATTGTAAATATTTATTACTAATAACCTGCAGTCTCGTCGTGTCCCAAATATCCCAAAGGGCTTGAACTAAAAATCAACTGGAAAGACAGACATTGGTCCCTCTTGGATTTCTTTCCTTTTTGCCATGTCCAAAGTGTACGAGCGCTAGTGCCGAACACAGTCGAGAAGAATAATGCACATAAGGTGCGAATAACTGCAGATGGCACTAACTTTGTTCAAGCTAAGTCTTCCACAGCAAAAAAAAACGCCCTGCTCTCAGTTGTGTGGATATTGGCGTTAAACAGGATTGGATGGTGTGAAATATGCTTAAGTTAAACATATCCAAATTTCGCGCGATTTGGTCTACTGAGAAAAAAGTTATGAACGAAAAAGTGTGAGAGCGTTTGGCCGGATACTTTTGAGAGCTACTGTATGTTAGAGACAATCATGATGGTACATCGTATATTTGCTTAGTCGAAGATGATCGCCTGTACAGTTTCATAGCAGATCGAAAATCCTTACCAATATTTAGAAATTCAAGTGGAATGGGATTTCACCTGTATCTAGAGTAAGGATGTACCGGTGTATAGGGCATCAGTAAAAAAGGCAACAGTTTGTTTCACAGCAGTAATAAAATTCTCTCTAAACAAGCTAGAGTCCTTAGATTCAGGCCAAGAAGGTCACCTTATTTGACAATAAGGCAGTGCTAACACGGTGCTTTGACTGAAAAGAGATGCAAGTTGGGGCGGAAGATGATCTCGACTTATTAGGATCGCTTGTTTGCTAGCTCATACATAGCTTCAAGTTTTGATTCATTGCTAGATATAGTCACCTACTCATACTTTATTGCAAGTTGCATAGCCTTACCGTATTTCTCATTCAAAAATTATGCAATCCTTACCCTGGAAATTGAGTTGTGCCGCATCTCACTGAAACACCCGTAAATGATAGTTGTCCCACAAATTTGGTCGAAGGCAAAACATTTCTAAAGCCAGGAAATAGCATCGTCCTTCTTAA